CCCCCAGCCCCGCAACCCCCCGCCTCTAATCTGACCCCACGTCTCACTTCCCCGCCTCTGCCTCGGTTCCCCTCATCTCCCCCCAGCCCCCGTCCCCGCTCCCAGCCCCGACTGTCCCCACCCCGGTCTCACCGCCCCTTCATTCCCGGTCCCACCCCACCCCTCCCAGCCGTGCCCTAGAACAGCCCCGGGGCTGAAGAACCAGGCGGGGCCCGTGGCACAGCGAGTCCTTTATCGGGGGGGAAGATGGGGACAGCCCCCTCGCAGCCCCGGCTGGGACCCCCGGAGCCCCCGGGCCGCCCTCCTGGGGCAGTCAGGAGGAGGAGGAGGAGGCGCCGCGTCCCAGCGCCGCCACCGCCCGCGCCGCCTGCTCGGGGACACGGGCAGGGTCGCTGAGGATGGAAGTGGAGACGCTCAGCTGCCGCAGGGAGCTCAGGACGGCTGCGGGGACAAGGGACAAGGGGGACAGGTCACTGCCCGACGCCCCTCGGGGGCTGCGAGGGGTGACCCACTCTGCGGGAGACGGCGCTGCCCATCCCTGCTCCAGCTGCTGGAACAGCGGGACCACTCCCTGCCACAGCTCCCAGCAGATGGGGCGAAGGGAAACCCACCCTGTGGGGCTCTGCGGACGGCTGAATCTGCCCTGCCAGGACACCGGGTTAGGGCACAGAAAGCTCATCTGGGAGGTGGGCGTGACAGGAGCACAGGAAAGCATCGAGCACAAGCCCCGGGACATCCCACGGATCAGCCTCTCCATCCCTCAGGACACCGCTGTGTTTTTCCCCTCAGCCTTTCCCTTAGTCTGTGCCCACCCAACTCGCTTGGGGTGCCACAGCCGGGCAAAGGGCCACCTACTTGGCCGAAGTGCTGGGAGGGAGCAGTGCTGGTCCAGCCAGGCCAGGGATGTCTGGGTGAGACTCTCCATGCTTGCCGTGGACACCATCCCATTGAAGGACTCAAAGAGGGGCCGCATGATGATACTGAACTGGCGGGAGCAGAGGAGTTAAGGACCAGCCTTGCCACAGCCATGGTCTCCCACCTGCCAGGTGTGGCCATCACCCTCCCTTGGCAGCAGGACAGATCTTGCCCAGCTCTGGAGCAGAACTGCTGGAGCAGCAGGACAGACCATGGATCAGACCTGCTGGGTGCCTTCCCAGCTCAGCACCTTACTGGGCACCAGCCTGAACTGCTGGGGTGATGAGGACCTGAGTGTCACCTGGGGCGGGGGGAGAGCTGTGTGACCCCCACCATGTCTGCTAGCAAAGTGCCCAGGAGCAGGGCAGGACACCAGTGTGGCCAGTGTGCTCCCCCAGCCTGCAGGGACCATGGATTTTGATCTGGGGACCAAAATCTGGGACAGGTGATTTTGTGCATGCAGTAATCCACACAGATACCTTCGCCGTGAGCGTGTCCTGGAGCCCATGTTGGCTTTAGGATACTCAGTGTCCTGAGGAAGGAGCTCCCCAGCTCTGTCAGCAGCCACCTCTGCCTTGCCCAGATGTGCTGCACTGGGTGGGACCGTGGGCAGCAGTGCCTGCCCAACCCTTCCGCCACTTGGGATTTCACAGACCTCACAGTCTCTGCAGGTTTAACGGTCCCAGTGTGTCTAATCCCTGCTCACAGAGGAGCAGATCCAGCCCTCTGCCTACAGGTTTCCTTGCCCTTGGTCCTCTCCATCCCTGGATTTCCAAAGTGTGCCATGCAGCCACCAAGACCAAGCCATCATGTCCCCAGCTTTGTGTCTGGACCTCTCCTAATCCCTGGCTGATGGCTGCTGCCTCTCAGAGCCAGTTCCCATCTCACCAGCAGCAATTGCCTGCATGAGCTCAGCTCCACTTTCCATTTCCCTGAAGACCAACCATTTATTCCTACTGTTTTTGCTCCCTTGTAACAGAAGATTCCTCCTAACCACAGCACCTCGGCATGTTCCCACCATGTGCCTCTGCTGGGGAGCATCTCCCTGGGTCCCTCCCTACAGGTCCCTCTACAGGGCCTGTAGAGCCGGAGGGACCTCACAGACCCGGCAGCAGTGGGTGAACCAGAGCACCTGGTGTTTGGTGCAGGGGTCAGAGGGAGCAGCAGGTGCTGGCCCCAAAGGATACGATCCAGAACTTCCAGTTCTGCAGTGTGGAGGAGCGGACGTACTCGTCGAACATGCCGCGCATGTGGTCGAAGCGCTGGCGCGTGATGGGCACCCCCGTGGCCGGCAGCTGCTCCTGGCACAGGCTGCGGGGCACAAGCAGCGCCGTGGGGCCGTGTTTGGGAGGCTGGGAGCCACAGGGGCTGCCCATGGGGCCCAGCAGGAGCTCAGAGGCTCCAGCAGGACCTCAGCTCTCAGCAGGGGTTGGCAGGCAGTGTCCCTCTCCCAGGGTGGCTGTGGGGCCTGGCCCCACAGTCTGGTCCCAAGCAGTAACTGCCTCTTGAGCATCAGCCCTCTCCCAGCCAGGGTTTTAGGAGGGACAGGTGCTCCAGGGAGACCTACCATGTCTTGCTGCCACTCCAGCACTGCCACTTGCCCTGCCTGGACACCCTGAAGCAGGCAGTGCCCCCCAGCCACATCCCCCCTTACTTGATAGAGCTGTTGAGCTCCTCAATCTGCTCCCGCAGCCGCTGCGCCTCATCCTGCAGAGCCGCCCGCTCCTGCTGCAGCTTGCAGATGTACTCAGCTGTCTTCTGCAGGGTGGTGGCCTTGCTGACCTGGGAAACCAAGGGGTGAGAGGGGTACGGGGCCCAGACCACCCTGGCACAGTCTCCAGAGCCCAGACTGCCCTGGCACGGCCACACAGTGCAGGTCTCCATGTGCCTACAGGGGCAGGAGCTCTGTGCTCTGGGGCAGAGCAGGGATGCAGCATCCTGCAGGTGTCCCTGCATGCCCAGGGATGGCCCTGGGTGCTCACCTTGATGCTGGGCTGGGTGCTCAGCGTGCTCACCAGGCTGTGCAGCGTGGTGAAGCCCAGCTTGATGTTGAAGCGCCTCTTCTGCTCGGCGGAGATGTGCGTGATGCGGCGGCTCTCCAGCTGCGGGGCAGCGCCGTCAGGCACCTCCCGGCAGCGGGGACAGCCACGGGCTACCAGCCCCAGCGGGGACAGGCTGGCCCAAAGCTTGCAGTGGATGGAGTTTTGGGGGGGTAGGAGGAAAGGGGGGTGCATATGGGGCTCCTGCAGTACCTTGTTGGACTCAGGCCTGCCCCGACGGGACACGGGGTGGTGCACGGAGGTGCCAGTGCCCAGCCCTGCAGTGGGTCCTGGAGAAGCCTGGCTGGGCTTGCGCCAGTTGCTGTCTGGAAAAAGGAAAATGCTGGTTTGGGGAGAGGGCAGCAGCAGCCCCTTGTGACAGGGTGACACCTGTCACACACTGGGACAGGCACAGAGGAGCACCCACAGTACTGCCCTTGCCCTGGGGCACCCACCCCTCTGACTGGGATGCTCTGCTCCAGCCTCTAACCACACATTACCCCAAATCCCACTCATTTACAACTGCTCAGAAATGGGAACACCTGGGATGTGACATTTTAAATTCCCGGTGTTTCTTGGGGTGGAAATATCCAGCAAGAGTCCCGAGGGCAGCAAGGTTGTGGTGTGCAGCACCAGAATGAACTGGGAATGACACCAGAGCCTGGTTTCCAGCAGCCGTGCTGGTTTCCGCGGGTGAAAGCAGGCACTTCCTGCTCCAAAACCAAGCTCTGGGGTTTCAAAACCACAGTCAGACATTTTGCTCTGTTTTTGTCTTTTCCTATTTCTGCTTTTGCCCCTGTAGAAGGAGGCAGGTGAAGGGGCTGCGCCTCCCATGTGGGGAGGAACCTTCTGTGCTTGGTTGGGTGAATGGAAATAGCTGGGATTGAAGCCAAAATGAAACATTCCCACAATGTTTGGTCCAAGCTCTCTGCAGGAACAGTGGTGCCCTGTGGAGCTCTTTGGGGTGCCCCTGGCTTACCACAAGCTGAGGTGGGAGACAGCTGCTCTGCCTTGGGGACTCTCAGGGAGCCCGGTTGCATGCCTGCCAGCGGCACTGGCACCACTGGGGAAGGGCTGGAGCCAGGAGCCAGTCCTGGGCTCACCTGGGCCATTCTGGAGAGGAAGGTGGCAGGGACTTCGGGAACAGTGCTCTGCTGCTAGGAGAAGGCAGAGGAAAGGGGAGTTGGGGAGTCAGCACCCCATATTTGGCACTGAAAGCCAAACCCCCACAAGGGACAGGGAAGGGCAGCCCCACTGAACCATCTGCAGGGGCAGCCCCAGCCCCAGAGCCCCAGGAAAGGTGTCTCTCCCACCTCTGCCCTGGTTCTTTTACCGAAGACACTCGGGTGAATCCTGCCACCTCCAGCCACATGTCCACTCCTTCCCCCTCGTGCCTGTCCAGCCCACAGCAAAGTGTGACCCCCTCGGAGCCCATCTGCCCCCCTGCCCCTTCTCCCCCCCTGCCCCAGCAGCCAAGAGAGGGCAATTCCCAATGTGAGGGGGGGAAATTCCCAAGCTGGGGGATAGGTGAGTGCTTACCGGGGAGACAGGGGCCATGGGCATGAGTCCTGCACCCATCGGGCGGGGGGCGTCCAGGGCTGGGTCCTGCTTGGCTGACAGGGCAGGGAGCAGATGGGCTCTTCTGCGTGGGGCTGTCAGGGCTGGGGTGACCTTCCCCGCCCCAGGGGACAGCCAGCCCCCCACACCAGCACTGCTGCAGCCCCTTCCCTGCCAGGCTGCCCCGAGAAGGGGGATGCACCCCTGGAGAGAGGTGCCAGTACTCTCTTGGCAGGGGGGATGTTCTTGGGAGCCTTGTGCAAGCAGGGAGGCCCAGCCCCCAGCCAAGCACAGGGACAGGGACATAACAGCGTGAAGGGACCTGTCCCATCACACCTACAGGCAGCAGGTTGTGCAGGACACCCAGTTATCTGTTGTGTCCATGGAGACCAGCCTGGGGACACAGGGACTTCCCAGCAGTGCCCGTGGCCAAGCCCTGGGGCTGCCTGGGCCTCAGCTCCCTCTGGCTCCTGGAGCTGGGAGGATCTTCACCCCTGTGCTTGCCCCCATGGGGACAGCCATGTGCCCTGCCCAGCATCCCCAGAGCCCCAACACCAGGGAGAAAGCATGGTCCTCTCTCTGATCCCTCCCATACCATCCCCCCCCGGCTCACCCCTGTGTCCCCCCACAGTCCCCCCGTCCCCCTTACCTGCGGTCAGCAACTGGCTCAGGCAGGGGTTGGACACAGGCAGGTGGGGCACGGTGGGTCCTGGCAGCCTCCTCGCCTTGGTGCCACCAGGCTTTGCCTTGGGCCGCCCCCCCCCACCCTGGGGCAGCCCCTTGGGGGGGGCAAACCTGGGGTCGCCCAGCAGGGCAGGGGGCAGGAGCTGGGGGGCAGCAGGGCCGGGGTACCCCGGGGGCACCATGCCCGTGGGGTAGCCCAGCCCCGGGGTGTGGGGGGTGAAGCAGGGGGCTGAGAGGGGGGAGGCAGGGTGGGTGAGGAGAGAGGGGCCAGGGGAGCTGGCGTAGGGGAACTTGGAGCGGGGGGCCGAGGCGGGGGAGAAGGGGGAGTCTGGGCTCGGTAGTGGTGCCCCAGGGGACAGGATGGGGGGGATGTAGTGGGGTCCTGGTGGCTCCAGGCTGAGGCACTTGGTGGGGAGGTCGTACTGCAGTGGGAGCTTGTGTCGGAGCTGGGGGCTGAAGCTGCTGGGCACTGCAGAGGGGGGCTCGGGGGGCAGGGGGGCCGGGGGCAGCTCGGGGCCCAGGAAGGAGCTGTGCAGGCTGAGCTGGGAGGCACTGCTGGGCTGTGGGAGACACCAGAGCATCAGGGAGGGTGGCTGGGATACAGGCAGCCACCGGCTGTGGGCTGGGATTCTGCTCACCTGGAGGAGGGTGCCGGGTGACAGTGGGGCCTCAGGGCTTGCAGGCAGCCCCCTAGCACCCATCAGGGACTCCCCGGCATCAAACAGGGGCTCGGCCATGGGCAAGAAGCAGGACGGCTCCTGGTAGCCCAGTTGTGTCTGCGATGGGGCTGTTCGGTGGCTGAAGAAGAGATCTGCAGGGCCAAGTGGAGACACGGTGACTGGCATGAGGGGACCTGCCCAGAGACGGAGGACAAGCCCTGGGACACGTAAGGTGGAGCCGTATCCTGTTACTGGCACTGCTGGGGACTTGACACCTTGTGTGGCCAGGGCAGCTCCAGCAGACTTGTCACCCAGGGCCAGCCTTGCCATGTGCATGGGAACAGGAAAACCCACTCGGAGTGCCACCCAAGGGTGGGGATCCCATCCCTGGTAGCCAGTTGGGCTCCACATGCTCCAGCCCCACGGCTGCTCCCAGGGGTGTGTGGGGCTGTATCAGCCCTGGGCTGGGGCAGGGACCGCCACACCCAGGCTGGGGGCACAGCACGGGGGTCCAGATGAGCATTCCCAAGCCACAGGGGAATATGGATGGTCCCCTGGAGTGGTGGTGAGTGCTGTCCTCCCCACCCAGCACTGCCGTGCGTGCAGCCTGTGGGTAACCACATCCCATGGCCTTCCCGAAGCCGAGCCGCGTGACCCTGCCGCGACTCCCGCTCCCTTCCTGTCTCCTTCCCACAACCCTGCTCCTTCCGCAGGCCCAGACGCCGTGGCACGCAGGGCTGGCCCAACACTTTGGGCAGCCACCTCCCCGGGCACATCAGCCCCACGCCTGCCTTGGCTCAGTGCCTGTGCCAGTGCTGACTCCGGCATCACCACCAGGAGAGGGGGCAGAGGATGACTGTGGGGCTGGGATGGGGCTGCTGGATTCTTCCCTGTAGGAGGGAGCGGGAGGACTTGCTGGATTTCCTGCCTGCTAACTAACCCCTGGCACAGGCTCTGTGCTTGAGCATCCACCCTGGGACAGGCACTTGCATCTCCTCCGGGGAGCACCCAGCCGTCCTCTCCAGCCCTTGTCTGGCATTGGCAGTGCCACCCCCAGGCCCTGCTGCCGGCTCTGCCTGCCTGGTGTGTGCAGCCATGACCAGGGCACCGGCTGTGGTCCAGGCTCCAGCACCCAGGGTGTCCTGACTGGGACCCACAAAGGCCTGAGACCCTGCCGAATCTACACCAGAGGAGCAAATGTGCCAGCACTGTGGGATGCCATGGGACTGGGCATGGTGATGATTCCAGCATGGCATGTGCTGCCATCCGAGGGAAACAGCGGTGTGAGATGGGGCAGAGCCGCTGGTGAGCTGCCCCACACAGCCCCCAGACTGCCCCTTCCCTCTGCCAAGGCCATGGTGAGTCCCTGGGGGCACGGCAGGGCCACCCCTGCCCCTCCACGGACTGGCACTCAGTGAGTGCCGTGATGCTGCCAGGCAGGGGCTCACCCTTCCTGGGATGCAGCCCAGCCCCACGCTGCCTCCACCTGCACTGTGCCCACACTGGGCTGCCTCTGCCACTGGCACAAAAGCTCTGTGGGTATTTATAGGCATTTCTGGTGCCCAGCTTGGCAGATTTGTGCCTCTTGTGCTTCTTGCTGTGCTACAGGGATGGCAGCCCCTGGGAGCCCTGTCCTCCCTTTCTCCTGCCCCTTCCCCACCCCACAGCTCCTGCCCATGCTCCTCCGCACCATCACATCACCCTGCCCCGCTCCAGGTAGTGCAGCACGGCCAGGGCACGGCGCTGCTCGAGGGAGAATAGCCCATGTGGTCAGCACACCAGCCTTTGGCATCCTGCTCAAACCTGGGGCTGCTCTCTGCTGGGATTGGGGCTGCAGAGCCCCTTCCCAACCTAAGGACCCTCCAGCACTGGCCACAGGCTCTGGGAGAGCCCTGTGGTGCAGCGGGGCAATGCCACCCCGTGGGACAGCCAGCCCAGCCCCCAGTGTCCCCATGCCCAGCGTGGGTCCTACCTGGAGCGCGGTGCCAGCGGGGGACGGGGCTGGGCTGCTCCCTCGCCTCTGCCATCAGGACTTCTCCATCCGCCCCGCACCGCGCTCCGGACCCGCCGCGGACACGAGATGCTTCCTCATTTGGGGGTTGGCTTGCAGGCTCTGACTGGCAGGCGCTGAGCTCTGCCAGGGCCACCCGACACGGTGACAGCCCTGTGACCCCGCGGTGCTCACCCCGCACAGCTCTGCGTGAGGGATTCACAGAAAACCATGGCCTGCCCTGCTGAAAAAGTGTCCTCTGGGACATAATTGGGTTGGTGGCACCCAGCACCCACCATTCACCCCCGTCTCCTCTCCCCACTTCCCCACGGGGGATATGGCACACACACAGCCCTCGGCTGCAACCCCTCATCATCCAAGGAGCTGCCCCACACAGTGTCCCAGGAAATGTCCCATGTCTAGGACAAAACTCCCACACACAAGTCTCCAAGCACCTCAGGAAATGTCCCATATCTAGGACAAAACTCTCACCCGTGAGTCTCCAAGCGCCCCATGGAAGGCTGCTCTGCCCCAGGGCACACCAGCCCCTCTCCAGCAGTCCAGGAGCCACAGCTGGGACACTGTCCCTGACCCCAGCAGGACTTTTTGGACCCTCCCCAGCCCCAGCAGTGTCCATGTTCTGAACTGCTGGGCACAGGCAGAACTGGAAAGAACTCTTCCCTGTGATTTAGTGGCTTGCAGTAAAACCCTATTATATAGCTTCTAGTAAACCCCTATTATATAGCTTGCAGTAAAACCCTATTCCCAGACAGCACCCTGGAGCAAAGTGCAGGCCTTTTCCCAGGAAAAAAGCCAACCTGGCTGAAACATTGGTTCAGCTGAGCACCGCTGTGCTCCTGCCATCTGCTTGAGCATGAGGCCATGCTGGGCCCTCAGAGGTGTGCTGGGGCTGCTGCTGTGACACCACGCAGGACCTCTCGGGGGGAGGGACACTTGTCAAGGATCAATTTGACCCCCTTGGAGCTGTCCACTGACTGATGTCCATGTGGGGCACCAGGGGACAGGGGGCAAAGAGTCAGCCACGGGACAGACCCTCTTCCCAGTGTGGTCCACCCTGAAGGGATCCGTGGAGGGAATGAGCCAAGGAGCTGCTGGCAGGAGCCTTCCCACCTCATCCATCCCCAGGGCATCCCACTGCCTGCCCTTGGCACACAGAGTGCCCATCCTGCTCCCTGCCAGCATCTGGTCTTGCATCACCCCTCAGCTGTATGGTGCAAGTGCCCTTGTTTCCTCCTGCCGAAGGAAGTGGAGACGGGCCATGGAGCTCCAGGCTCACATGGGGGTCTGGAGATGATGCTGCTGCCCGAGGCCACCAGCTACCTGGAGGGCTTGCAGCCACCAACCCCCACAGTGTGCCCAGCTCCAGCACATTCGAGGGCAAAGCTGGTCCCCAGCAGTGCCCTGCCCTGGCATATGGGGACACTGCTGGGACCAGGACGTGTCCCAACTGATTCCATGGCACACAGGGACACTCACAGCTCAGAGCCTGCATGGCAGCGTGGGGGAGGCTGCTACTGCCCCCTTCCTGGTGTTCTTCCCTGTCATCCCCCTGCCCTAGCTGGACACCAGTGCCTGGTTTGTCTCTGGGCAGCCTGGCAGGGACAGTGGCTTGTCCCCAGGGGATGTAGCACAGACCAGTGCAGGGTCCCAGTCCCTTGGGCTGCTCAGCCTGGGGCTGGCCGGGCAGTGGGGTGAGGAGGGGATGCAGAACCTGCCCTCCAGGGGTTTCCTCTTCCAGTTTGGGACAATTGTCCTTCCTCTGTCTGCAGCCAAAATGAGGGGCTTTGGCACACCTGGAAAGATCCTCTGCTTATAGAAATGCCCTCCCACAGCTCCTGGCCTGAACTTTCCCAACCTTCTGTGGCTCTGTTGGCCAGGCTACAGAGGGAGCTGCTGGGGCAGGCAAGCACACCAACCCCCTGCCTACAGCCCCTGTCCATCCATGCTGCTTTTCCCATGGCACTGGGTGTCTGGTGCTTCTGCCTGCCCCAGCAGCTCCCTCTGTAGCCTGGCCAACCCTCTGACCCCCCATTTTGGGCTGCCACGGGGTGCAGGGCTGTGTGGGATGTGGTACCACATCCAGGCTGGCTCTTACCTGAGATGTCCATATCATCCAGGCTGGGCTGCAGGGGTGCCAAATCCGGCTGTATCATGTCTGCATTCCCAACATACGCTGGAAGAGGGCAGAGCTGGAACATCAGGGCCCAGCCACTGCACCTCTAAGACCACCCTTCAGGGCTGCTCCCACCACTACCTGCCACCCCTCTGTGTCACCCCAGTCACCCTGTGTCACTGGACCCTTCCCTGGGCAGGGAGGTGGTTGCCCACCCTGTGGAGAGCCAGGGCCATCCCATCCCACCACCCTGCTCCGCCTCCACATCCTGCTGGAGCATGGTCTGGGGCACCTACCGTCCTCGGGGAGTGCCTGGTGAGTGCTGGGCATCTGTGTCATGGTGAAGAGGGTGTCAGATATGT